TGCCTCTGCCTCCCAAGTGCTGGGATTAAAGGCATGTGCCACAAATGCCGGCTATGGGCCATTTTCTTGACTGCTGACAGATATTTGTTTATCCAGAGTCCTGTCAGCTTTTGTATCCATGTCAGCATCTTACAGCTACTCTCCTCATACACTGGTCTAGTTTGACTTGTGACAGAGATGAACATACAGATATTATTCTATGGAATGGTGGAACCTTATTTGTTTGCCCATTAAGTGTGGATTTCTTGCTACAGACCAAATAAACTGTACTGGTTGACTTCACCTTGTCACGGCCAGGGACTCTTTCATTGGCTGCCCCATGTCTTAAGGTGGCAGCATCCCCTGTGATGTGCAGCTAGAGGCACAAGGGCTTTCCTCTGCCTCCTTGACTTGCTGAATGGGCTTTAGTAATAGGGTGTCCTAACTGATGGGTATCAGAGAGAAACATTCCGGTCTGCACACGGACTTTCAGAGAGGTCTACTGTAGGTACTCATCTGGAAGCATCTGAATCTGTGGCCGGGCCCCTGCTTTTCCCCCTCTAGCTGTTCTCTGAACCTTTCCCTCTTTCTCTCAGCTCTCTGTCCTTTCTCTGGACACCTATCCTTTGTCCCTGTTTCTGGGTCATCCGCCACCACTCATATCATTGCTTGTCCCCATGTGTTTAGGCTCCTTGGGGCAGTCAGACTCTGGGCTCAGTACACATAGGTACCATGTGGTAGGTTAAAAGGTACTGTGGTGTGTTGATTTATAGGGCAGTGGGGAATTAACACATCAGATGGGAAGCTGTCATTGCAGGAGAGTGGGCAGCATTTGGGCAGCTGATAAAGGAGTTCTTGGTGTGACTGTGTTATCTCAGCAACCCTTCATTTGGGTCTGGAGCACTTAGGCCTACTGCATAGCTTCCTCAGCCAGTGGAATTGGTTTTGTCTGTAGCAAAAGCTGTCATGGCTTGGCTTTCCTGAGTGTAAACTGGGGGTGATAGTAAGGGCTGTATAGTTTGGAAGGGTAGGGAAGGTGAGGGCCCCAAGAGGTTGGCTCATTGGAGCTGTAGAGAATGGATTGGGGTTAGGGTACTGGCCTCGTGGGATGAAGGTCAGCTGCCCCATGGGGCACTCTGTAGGCTGGGTCAGTCCAGTGCTGCTCAGGCTGAAAGGTGAGGATTGAGGTCAAAGTCCCTGTAGGAGGAGGCTTCCCTGTGCTGGGTCCCACATTCCTGGTTCAGCTCAGCCAGGCTTGAAGCCCAGATCTGGAGTAAGTCGACCAAATTATCTCTATTTGACATTCCCGAGAGGCTGTGGGAAGGATTTGTGGAGTAGGGCAGGAGATGCCCTCCTTGGCCTGGCCATTTTAGTAGTTTAGCTGTCTTCATGACTCTCGAAGACTAGGAAGTAGAACCACACCTTAGTCAGGGTCAGCTGGGTCAGCCAAGACTCAGCTAGGCAGGAGGTGGCTTTCCTCCTAGAACTTCAGAAGAACCCATCGGCTTTCAGCTGCCCTATTCCCTTTGAGGCTGGGTTCTGGAGTAAAGCCAGATAGACAGCTCCTGGAGTCAGGGGACTGAAAGCTTAAAGCCCAGCCTGCTGGGAGCTATGCTAGAACGGCCTTGGAGTAAGAACTGTTCTGGTGGGTTGTGTGTGGTAGACATGGGCTCACTGGGGTCCCCTGGAGTCCTGTCCCAGATCACACAGAGTCTGTCCTCAGGCACATTCCAGAAAGGTCAGGAAGATGGAAGTTAAGGGCTATGTAGTGGAGAGGATGGCCTTCTGGGCAGTCTGGGGCAGCCATAAGCTGTGCTTATCTCCCCACTGCAGCTAGTGAGCTGTCTCTAGATGTGCCTTAGATGAGAAAACCAAAAGCCATCATGTTTTCAAAAGTGGTTTCTGTCCTTGGGTTGTTTCTCTTCTATAGGACAAGGGCATCAAGATATCTTTCCTTTTGTTTAATGATGAGGGCAGGGGAGGTGTCTCTTAATTTCTCTTCCCTGTGGATGCCAGTGTCCCCATGACTTTAGCTGAGTGCCACTCAGGGTGGCAGAAATACTGACTGGACTTACCTAGCTCCCTGGTGGGAGCAGGGCAGATGCCAGGCCACAAGGGATTCGGGAAGCCCAGAGAAGAACCCTTGCCCAGCCCAGCTAGGACTCTGAGCTTGGCCCTAGGATGGCCCATGGACAGCCTAGCTGTGTGTAGGCAGTCCTGGCTGTTTTATTGTTTAGCCTGCACAGCCTTCTGGAAAGGATGGATAGGGGCCTGAGATACCCCTTGTCCTACTCTTCCCTAAGTGTATGGGGGAGGAATAGGGCAGAGCAACTCCCCGGGATATAGCTGACTCAGTGTGCTGTGGGCAGAAGGTGGATCCCACATAGGACTCCCCTGGAGCCCTGCCTCTCCCCATGAGCTGAACTTGATATGTTTCCTTATTCACATTTATTCCTCAGGTGTGTGTGGCAGCCGGAAGGGGAGGCTCCCCTGAGAAAATATTGACTGGCCTCCTGTCTCCTAGCTGCCTAGAGATGGTCGTCCTTGAACACTGGAAGCTGGGACCCCAGGACTGACCACATGCCCTGGTCTTTGCTACGATATCTCCTTAGACCTAGCTGTGCTACTGGAAACCAGCCAGCATGGAAGAAGAGCAGAGACTCCCAGGGTCTGCCAGTGGCTTGCTGCTGATTGGCCCTGCCCTCCATTCTCCTAGGCAGGGTGCCAGGAAGCTGGAACTTTGTTATCTGGGTAATTAGCTTCAGACCCTGGACTGAGGCCGGCCAGGTCTTAGGGCTACTTCTCACAGGCTATATGCACCCTGACCCCAAGAGGGAGGCGAGGTGCTGTGTACAGAGGCCCTGCCAGCTGAGCAGTTGAGGTGTCAGTCCTGCCTGTGGAACAACTGTGGGCACCCCACACACACCTTCCACCCCACCCCCTGCCACACTGCCCTCCCTACCTGGGCTCTGCCCCTTAGGGCAGCTGGGCCTGGTCATAGTTTGGGGCCTCCCATCTCAGCCTTGTCAGGGACAGAGGACACCAAGTCTTGGGAAGGGGATGCCCCCAAGGGTGCCAGTCCAGCCAGCTGCCCCACCCTTCAGGCTTGGCCTGGCCCTCCAAACCCGAATTGTGGTGCCCCAATCAGCCCTGTGGGCAGACATCCACCACCATGGCCGAGCACCTGGAGCTGCTGGCAGAGATGCCCATGGTAGGCAGGATGAGCACCCAGGAGCGGCTGAAGCATGCCCAGAAGCGGCGTGCCCAGCAGGTAAAGATGTGGGCCCAGGCTGAGAAGGAAGCCCAAGGCAAGAAGGGCCATAGGGAGCGACCATGGAAGGAGGTGTCTGGCCTAAAGCCTCGGAAGCATGTCCTCTTCCCTCCCAGCGTTGCTCTTCTGGAGGCTGCTGCCCGAAACGACTTGGAGGAAGGTAAGTGTGCTTGAGTCCCAGGGCAGGGCACAGCAGGCACTCCCATCTGCCTGGGTGTGGCCCTGCATTGTGTTGGCTCTGAACTAGGCCCAGAACTATCTATAGCTCCTGGACTCTAGTCCTAGCTCTGATACTAATAGTCAACTGTCCTTAATAGAGGGTTCATGCAAGAGGTCTTTCTGTGGGTAAAGCCAGATTAATGGATGGCTAGACCACTGGGTAGACACACTAGGGATTGCAGAGAAATAGTACTTGGGCTGAGAGCCATCACTGCCTCTTAACAGAGAGCAGGGTTGTCTGTGGATCCTCTCCCTTTACGCATGGCTCTGGAGAGTGGGATAGCATTGCTCACCTCTGGTTAGAGATGGAGAGTAGGTATCAGCCAACTCCAGTGTAGGTCCTGGAGCACATATGGCCCGGCATTACAACACACTTCCCCAAGCCCTGCCTTTGACTTTTCTCCTCTCGTGTTAGTACGAAGAGTATATATAACCTTAGGAGATCCCTTTCCTTTGCTGTGCCCTGTGCTTTTAACTTCTGGGGCCTGGAAGAAGAGGCATCTGCTAGCTCTTGAGGAGTCTTCTTGCCCTTCCTCTTCTTGCAGTCCGTCAGTTCCTTAGCAGTGGGGTTAGCCCCAACCTGGCCAATGAGGATGGCTTGACTGCACTGCACCAGGTGAGCCCCCGCAGGAGTCGGGGAGGGGTTGACAGGCCTCATTGGGGGTCAGAGTATGCGGCTTAGGTTGCTTGTTTGCAGTGCTGCATTGATGACTTCCAAGAGATGGCACAACAGCTCCTGGAGGCTGGGGCTGATGTCAATGCTCGCGATAGTGAGTGCTGGACACCTCTGCATGCTGCAGCCACCTGTGGCCATCTGCATCTGGTAGAACTCCTCATTTCACGGTAGGACCTGCTGGGTGTCCAGATGGTTGCTCAGGTGACCCCTCTGGGATACTTCCTCTGTCTTTACCTCCTCTGTCAACCCTATCTGGGGTCCCAGGAGGAAGAGTGTGTTCACTGTGCAGGGTAGACTTCCAACTCTGAACCAAGGGTCTCTCCACAGTTTGCATAGGAAAGTGCCATTTGGTCAGTGTGAGGATGGACTTGGTAAGGAGGGAAGGGGTATGAAGAGACCACCTGTGCCTAGGGGGAAGTGCCAGGGTATAGGTGAGGCCTTTACCCCTAACAAGGAAGGTGGAGCACAGGAGGCTAGTGGCTTCTCTAGACTCAAGAACTTCTCTAGTAGGTCAGTATGGAAGCTTGGTCACCCTTGTATGAGCAGATGAGTCTCTGTCCCACATAGTTGTCTTGGTAATGGAGTAGGGGTGTGTAGCTAGCAGGTTCTTGGGGCTCCTCTTGGAGCTGGTGAGGAACTGCAGGTATTCTTCTTGTTCTGCTCTTCCATCAGGCAGAGGCACCCCTTCTGTTTTCTGAGGGCCCCAGAGTCCTTGCACATCTGCGAGTGCCTTTTCTATATTTATGGGAGGAGATGGGTGTCATAAACCTGAAGCCTAGATCGATAGAGATGCTAAGTCTAGCTTGAAGACAAGTTCTAGGGCTGAGGGGTAGCAGCCAGGCCAGCTTTTCTAGCAGGAGCTAGAGCTTTGTTTTACCCTTGCCTGCCCTCCCTTCCTAAGGACAGTCCTAGGCTGAGGGCCTCTGTTGAGTGGAAACTTGCTGCAAGGGGACGGAGGACTCCTTCAGTGAGGAGCTATTGTATGAAAGTACTGAGGCCAGCGGCTTGTCAATCTTCCTTGTAGTGGTGCAAATCTCCTGGCAGTCAATACTGATGGGAACATGCCCTATGACCTTTGTGAGGATGAACAGACACTGGATTGCCTCGAGACTGCCATGGCCAATCATGGTGAGTGTGCTGTGCCTGCCCACAAGGGGTGATGCCCAAGGTCATGCTTTCTCTAAGCCAGCTTGTCCCCCAGGTATCACCCAGGACAGCATTGAGGAGGCCCGGGCAGTGCCAGAGCTGTGCATGCTGAATGACCTCCAGAGCCTGCTGCATGCTGGGGCCAACCTCAATGACCCTTTGGACCATGGGGCCACTCTGGTGAGGACTCAGTCACTTGGGGGTGTCTGTCCTGGGGCAGGTACTTGGAAGGGGTGTGGGCTGGGATTCAGGGCTGAGTGGTTTGCCTGCAGCTGCACATCGCCGCTGCTAATGGGTTCAGTGAGGTGGCTACCCTGCTTCTGGAGCAAGGAGCCAGCCCGAGCGCTAAGGACCATGATGGCTGGGAGCCTCTGCATGCTGCAGCCTACTGGGGCCAGGTGAGTGCGAACAAGAGCAGGGAGAGGGTAGGTTCCTGACTCTAGTGAGAGCCCTCAGCCAAGCAGCTACTGCTGGCTGCCTGCAGGTGCACCTGGTAGAATTGCTTGTGGCCCATGGGGCTGATCTGAATGGAAAATCCCTGGTGGACGAGACGCCCCTCGGTGAGTGTGGGGTTGCCTACATCTGGCAGAAGGGATAGGCCACGAAGATGCCTGTGACACCTCTGTCCATCTCTTCTCAGACTTGTGTGGTGATGAGGAGGTAAGAGCCAAACTGCTAGAACTCAAGCACAAACAAGATGCACTCCTGCGGGCCCAGGGCCGCCAGCGCTCCCTGCTGCACCGGCGGACATCAAGTGCCGGCAGCCGTGGGTAAGGCCCCTACTTCAGGTCACTGTCTACCTCTGAGACCTAGGCTTTGCCCCTGTGGATGTCAGGGGGCAGCAGAACCCAGTAGGATCTGTGGGCAGAGGCTGTGAGCTAGATGATAATGTCTCAGCTTCCTCTCTCCTCAGAAAGGTGGTGAGACGAGTGAGCCTGACACATCGCACCAACCTGTATCGCAAGGAGCATGCCCAAGAGGCCATCGTGTGGCAGCAGTCACCGCTCACCAGCCCAGAGCCTCAAGAGGATGAGGACCGGCAGACAGACGCTGAGCTCCGGCTGCAGCCCCCAGAGGTGAGCATGCAGCCTCTGTCCTGTCCCAGATGTGGGACAGTCTTGTCATGTGAGCTTATTATTTAGTGTGTAGTCCTCTGTCCCCACTAGCCCCCTATGGAGGTGATAGGCCCAGTGACCCTGTGCTCCTAGATGGGCTGGTACCCCTCAGGTATAGGTTACTGACCTTCCCACTCTCATGTCTGTCCATCTACCACCACTTCACACAACCTGAAGCCCAAGGTCAGTGTAGGTGAGAAAAAGCACCTGCTGATGGCCTCTGGGGTCCTGGCTCTGCCCACAGGAAGACAGCTCTGAGGTGACCAGACCACACAATGGCCAAGTAGGGGCCCCCCCAGGGAGGCACCTGTACTCCAAGCGTCTAGATCGGAGTGTCTCCTATCAGTTGAGTCCTGTGGAGAACAATGCCCCTGATGCCCTCGTCCGGGACAAGGCGCACCACACACTGGCAGAACTTAAACGGCAGCGAGCAGCTGCAAAACTTCAGCGACCCACCCCTGAAGGGCCTGAGACCTTGGAGCCTGGCCTGTCTGTTGACACTGAGACCTCCCAGCCTGACTGTGGCTTCAGAACAACTGGGGACCCACCCCTGCTCAAGCTCACTGCCCCCTCAGAGGAGGCTGCTGTGGAGAAGAGGCCATGCTGTTTGCTCATGTGAAATGTGACTCCTCAATATGGCAAGGTTCAATCCCATGCCAGCCAGAGGCTTCCTCATGATCTCTGGCCTGGTGACCCACTCCAGCACATGCCTCAGTGCTATAGGGGAGCCAATACAAGAGCCCTGTACCCACTTCCAGCCCAGGACACTGGCCCCCTTGCTCAGGGATGGACTATGCAGAGCTGTACCTATGGGCCTCAGGCCACAGACTGCTTACCCTGTGACTCTTGATAAAGGCTGTTTGCCACTGAGTCTTCCTGTGTGTCTCGATGGGGCAGGGGCAGGGGCAGGTAGTACTGCTGGGTTAGGAGCCACCCATGCCCAGGAGCACCCAAACCTATAGATGCATGCTGGGGCTTGTAGGTGGCAGCCCCAGATTTTGTGGGAGGGAGGGAGAGAGGGAGAGAAGCTCAAGGCTATAGGCAAGAAGCCCAGCCTTTACCTGGACCTCCCCTGGCTGGTTCAGCTTCTTGGAGGCTTCTCTGTAACCCTTTACTTTCCTGAAGGCAGCAGGAAACTTTGGACAAAGATTCTTCATGGGGGGGGGTGCAGAGGGTAACCATGCAGAGGGACAGGGAACCTAGCTAGAAGGGGTACAACGCTTTCCTTAGGATTGGACCAGAGCCAGCAGGGAGAAACAGGCAGAAGGCTGGCAGTAGGCACTTCCCAGGGTCATGGTCTCAGTTCCTGGCATGCAGCCCTGATCCTGGGGCATATTTGCCAGCTTCTGCCTGGGCTGGTATAGGTGACAAGCACTTGGCCACTCAGGCTGTGCTGGCTAGGCACAATGCATCAGAGTGAGAGGGGCCCTTTTAGGGGCCTCAAGTGGGAGGGAAGAAGGCAATTCTAGATCATGTCCATTTGGGCTTGCATAGCCATACCTCCCAGGTGACATGGGCACTGACCTGGCTGGCCTTGTGTCCATCCCAAGGGCCTGTCCTTCCTCTCGCACCTGTGGTTGGAGGGTTAGTGTCCTTGGAAGGGCTTGGGGGAGGGTTGGTGGTGGCTGCTGGTTAAATTTAGAGTAGAGCTGCCTTGCTGCCTGAAGCTCACCTGCCACTTGTGCTGCTCCTTGGCTCCTGCTGGTAGGAAGCAGGCAGTGGCAGGCTTGTCCCGGGCCAAGCCTATATTAATCCGTGCTCTGGTCTGAGGGCCAGAGTGAGGCCAGTGAGCCGGGAGGTCACTGTGGCATCAGAGCCAAGAGATCAGAGGTGAGTGTGTCCCCATTGGGCCTCATGTGGTGTTTCTTCCAGCATGCAGGGACAGAGGGATCAAGGCTCACCTCAGGCCTTCCTAGCTGCCTGCCCAGCTTAGAAGTCAGGCTCCCCAGCCCTCAACCTGAGCCATAAATGGGTCCTGGGCCTTAGATGACCAGTGTTGAGCATGGCCTATAAGCTTCCTGCAATGCCAGTGGGGGAGTGGGGCTCTATGGACCTATCAGAGGTCACTTCCTGCTCTCTGTACCAATCAGGAGCAAGAAGGAAGAGGACAAAGTTACCCTTGGCCTGGGATGTGGCCCTAAGGGCAGCCTCAGGCTGATGTGTATTGAAAGGGCATGAGGGCAGTCCAGGGTGAGGTGTCCAGGACGAAGTGTCCTGTCTCTAGTCTTTGTCCCTACCCCCAAACCCTTGCAGTGCTCATCAGGGACCAAGGTCCAACCGTAGCACTGGGGCAGTCCCCATGAAACCCAGAGACTGAACACCTCCCTCCTCTCCTGCAGTGCTCCCCAGATTCCTGAGGCCTGGCCTAGTTACCTAGGAGACAAGTAAAGATGG